AAAAAACCAGAGGATTAGCCCAAAGGGCATGTTACCAATATCATGAACATTCTTTCTTACAACTGACCCCGGGAGACACAGAATCGGGAACAGTGTCCTTGGGCTCTGACTCCGCCTTTTACTTTTCGCTGAAGCCCAGGTGACTTGGTGAGCAGAGGTACTGACACCGTTCTCTCTGGGCTGGCCTCGTCTCAGTGTGTAACATGGATACTGTAATTCTTTAATTACAGTATCAAGAGACAGATTAAGATTCATTCAAGTTTGCACAACAGATAAAATGTAAAGACTTAGAAAACATCGTCACTTTTTGTTTTTAACCCCCTTGAGTACTCGAAATGCGTGCCGATAGTCACATTTTAGTTCCGGGACAAGGCAGAAGTACATAAAACACGACAATTTTGTTTTTCATAAATTATTTTAAAATGATTCTAATGAAGACTGCGGCTAAGTGGGGGTTTTGTTTGGAATGTTGTTTACATTGCAGCGAAAATATGTTGGTGCTTTGCACGTCTGTGCTTTGTCAGCGCTGTGGTTAGGGGGAGACCGTCCACAGGAATAGTGTGGCTTTCATAAGAGAGTTCAGCACAAGTTGGAAAACTTCTTCATTTCATTTTTCTGAGTTGTCTTAGGAGAGAAGTGTGAATGTGTGTGTGTGTGTGTGTGTGTGTTCACAACAGTGTGATACGTAGCTGGCCCTCTGTATTCCTATCCGCGGCTCCATAGGTTCCCATCTCTGCATTCAGCTAACCACAGATGAAAAATATTAGAAAAAAACTGCAAACGTTCTATGAATATTCAGATTTTTTTCTTACCATCATCCCTTAAACAATACAGTGTAACAGCGATTTACATCACCGTGGGTCTTATAAATGACCTAGACATGATTTTAAATGCCTGGTAGGATATGCATGGGTTATCTGCAAACAAATTCAGTGGTATTTTACAGAAGGGCATTGAGTATCTATGAATTATGATGTCTGTGGAAGATTGGGGAACCGATCACCCTTAAATACTACAAGATGACTGTATACGTGTTTTGTGAATGGATATGTATTGGTGTACCTGCTTGAAAACACTTACATGCACGTGAGTGTACAGATAGATGTATACATATATGTGCATTTACCTGTGTTATAAATATATATGTCTGAAAGTGTGAGAATGTGTAAAGAACTAGAGGCGACAGAATTAGGGTGTAGCCGTGGAGTCTTCCAGTCTCGAGCGAGGTCTTGAACAGTGTGTGTTTCCAGTGTTGTTTGCTTAGACAACAGTCAGCATCCTGAGGCAAGTGATTTGTAGCGAACTTCTCACTTAAGCCCCCAGTAACTTAGAAGACTGTAGAGCAGGAACCCAAATTGAAGTCCACTTTTGAAGTGTTGCACTTTGGGAAAGACTTTAGGATCATTATCATCTCTGAGTTATCAATGGGGCAGTTCCTGGGTTATATATCAGGTTGAAGAAAATTCTATACGTTTGCGTAAATGGTAATGTGTCTTCTCACTGCTTAGGGTCCTTCCCAAAAACACATGGAGGAATTTGTCACAAGGGAGAAAGAACAGGGTTTACTGGAGAATAATTAAGAAGAAGGGCATGATGTAAATAGGCAAAAAATGACAGAGGATGATGAGGCACACAGAAGAGGCTACAGAGGAGAAGGGCTTTAGTGCTGGCCTGAAGGGAGAGGGAAGGGCACCATCTCCAGTCAGAGGGGAAGGGCGAGCTGCACCCAAAGGAGCAGTTCTTGATGGTCTTGGTGGCCTTCAGCAAAGGCATGTGGCCAGTCCTGGGCACACCGTCAAGCCAGGCAGCACGGGACCTGCTTTCTCCCACTCTTCTCTTTCGACCTCTTGCATGGGTGGAGCTAATGAGGAGTGCAAAGTAAAGAAAGCTCTTGGGATACAGGCACAGGGAAGGGTAGAAAGGATGGGGAAGAGGCCTGGAGGGGTACATGGAGATGGGGCACCCTGCAGGGTGCTGACTGATTGGAAATGAACTAGTCCTCCCTTAACAAAACTGTAAACTCAGTAAGTAGGATAGTGCGAGGGTTAGAACTTGGCTTCTTTCTAATCAGACAACACTTTAGTGGTGAAGACCAAATGGCAGTTCAGAAACAGCCTTGAAATGAAATCCTTACATGGACGGCTTTTATGTACTAGGAGGCTAGGGACCCCAAACCTAAGGATTTGTGATATCATTGTTGTTTCTTTCTGTGATAAGGTTCAGGCAGGGAAATGCAGATCCTGACCCTAACGTTATTCAGTAACACAATAGCCTTGTGGTATAAATTATCACCAGCAATAAAGAGACCCCATTGTATATAGTGGCAATGAAGGGGGAATCCCCCCACTCCTCCCTGCCTTGTGTGCCACTTGATGCATAGAGTCCTGTCATCTCAAATGCTACCAAACAACTGGCAATAAAAAGGGATAAACCGTAAACCTTGGTAGCACAGAGCACCTGCTAGTGAAATGGTGAAACCTAAGTTGCAGACTTAGTGTGTTTAGCAACTGTGTAAACATCACATGCGTCGTGTATATATGTACACTTTTAAAGGTTAAAAACAGGTTGGGGTTATAGAGATCCGTGAAAGAGCCCTTGCCTAGCGTGTATGAGGACCTGGCTTTAATACCCAGGGCTGCCAAAAAGCATAACCAAAGCCACTGAAAACCAAGTTGAATAAGGACGGAAGGTGGGGCGCACCCACTCACAGATCTGATCCACTCCTCATCTCAGCAAGTCATTGCTATGATTTGAGTTTGCGATGGGGTTGCCGGGCTCTTGTCATCTTGGTCCTGAGACCGCCTTGGTACCAGAAAACCCTGTTCCCGGCAGGCAGACCACTCTTGGAGCCCAAGTCTTGGTCTTTGAGGGCAGACAAGAAATTTCCTCTTCAATTTTGTGGCTCAATCTCAACTTGAAACTCCGTGTGGGAGTGAAGAATTGACGTAAATTCCTAGCTGAAGGAAAGAAAGCGTGAAAAGAATGGTTTGATTTGTGTTTGTTTTTTTTGTTTTAATTTTTTAACATTCAAAAATAACCAAAGAGAACTCCTGATACTTAACTGCCAAACACATAGCTTAATGGTGGAGTATAGCATTTGTGAGGCCCTGGGCTGGGTTCCAGCATGGAGGGAAAGAACCTGAACCCAAATCAACCAACCAACCAACCAACCAACCAACCAAACAAACAAACAAAAAACTATGAGAGTTCAAGGTTCTGACTTGAATTTTCTCAAAATTAGAAAAAAAAAGATCAATCCACCAAGAAAGAAAAGTTAACTGACTTTCTCAAAGGAATCAGGTTCTTCAAAGTAAAGGGGCAGTGTATTGTCTGAATGAGGGGCCGTGTATGCTTCACTAAGAGCCTATCCTGGGAATGCAGGAGGTTTCGCAGGATGTTGGATTCCTCTGCAGGGGGAAACCTGCCAGAGGTGGAGTTTCTAAGTTCCTCTAAAACACAAGCAAGAGGGAAGGGATCTGTAGGGTGTGGTGGTGCACACCTGTAAGGAGGTAGGAGGATAATGAATTCAAGGTCAGTCTGTCTTTTTAAAAAAAAAAAGTGTTAAATGGATCAGGAAGCTGTGCACTGAACAGGCTGTTCCCGTTCGCCTTTGTTTCCAGAAGCTTCAGTGTTGCTGTTTGAAAAGGGTGCCTTTTAAGTGTGTGTTGTAAACAGTGCCCCAGCAGGGAGGGCTCACAAACAATACCTCAGTCGCTGCTGATGTATCACTTATTGTTTAATACGTGCACGCAGCTGGTCTCTAAGGACCCGAGGACACACAGTGACTGCCCAGAGGTCAAGGGTCAGTGAATTAACGCCTAGCTTTTGTTGGAGTACTAAAGGGAGATGATCTTCTTCTCCACAATCAGGGGCCTGACTAGAAAGAGATCACTCTGTACTCGGAACTATTTCAAAACCACAGCTGCAGCTTCCCTTCCCGGACTTCTTCGCCGGTAACTGGAGTCAGCAGGCTGATGCCTTAAGCCTGGAAGACTATTCCTCCAGATTGTGGAAATGATACTTTAAAAAATTGTGATTTTCTTTTTATGCTTGAGATGTTTTTTTAAAAAAAATTAAATTGCGTTTGTTTTGTTCTATTTTTCCTCTTCATTTTTACTAGTTCTTTGAGACCCTCTCATTGATACTTTTTGATCATATTCAGGCCTCCCCCAACTTCTCCCATGTCCACCCTCCCTTCCCTGTCCAACAAACTGTGTGTCCTTAAAAATATAATTATTTATTGGTGGTTTAAAGTATAAGTCTTATTAATGGAAACATGGAATGGGAGAAAGCGTTTTGGATTAAATGCTAAAACACAGCTTCCTTTTGGCTCTCTTATGAATTAACTCATTTAGCTACTGAAAGTTGAAAAAGAGCCAGAAGAGACTTGGCTGGGCCTGCTGGAGAGGGAAGAAGGCAGGGAGCCAATGCCGTGGGCACAGATAGGTGGGAAGAAAGCAGGAGGAGACAGGCCTAGCAGGAGGAGGGCAAGGCTCCAGGTCTCCCTGTTCTCTGTGCCTTTGCAGGGAGGGACCCTCCATCCTTAAACCAGTGAGCCAATTTCCTTCCTGGCTTCAGGGGTCTCTTCGACCTCCATGGCCAGCATATCAGTGGTCTACGGGAAGCAAGGAAGCAGTTCGGTTCAACATGACTAAGTAGCCATGTTGGTTTAAACCTGGTCCCAAATAGTTTATTTTAGGTGTATTTAAGTATAGCACAATTTGGTGAAAACTTATTCTGGTGAATAATTAACTCAATCTTATGTGCACAATAAAGCTTACAGAAATCTCTTTGAGGAACAATAAAGATTGGGCGTGATTACATTGAAATCTTTTTAAGTATGCGTGACACTTTCTATAAAGATTGACTGACTGAGAAAAGCAACGGTCTGCGGGAGGGTCCGGTGTGGGCTCTGGTCACACAGATAGCACAAAGGTCACAATGCCCGTCCATCTGTTCCTAGCCAGGCTAGAATGCACGTCCAGCTGCTCCTACCCTTCTGGATGGATAATAGGTGTAGCGTTCCTTCCCTTGAAAAATAATGATCATGTTCCACGTTCCCCTAAGTATCTGTGAGCACAAGAACCTCCATGCCATGCAATTCCTATTTATTTCCTCTCTGTAGTTGGTGCACACACCTCTATTGGCTGTTGCCCTTGGTTTCCTACTCAATCAACTACTGAACTTTAAGTTTTCCTTGTTCTGTTCTTCGATTTGCTGACTGAGGCCCTGTGAATAAGAAGTGATAGATGAGTAATAGTAATAGTAATATAATAGTAGTAGTAATAGTAATAGTAATAGTGATGGATGAGTAAAAAGAGGCAATAGTATTAACATGTACGCTGTGTGCTCTCGTGGGGTCATGTGGTGACTGGGAGGGAGGTTAGAGCCTGAGCTCATACAGAATCCCCTAGAAAACCATGGTCTTCTAGATAAATGAGAAAACAAAGGAAAAGCACCTTGGCCTTCCATGGCGGCTCAAGCTGCAGGATTCTTACCTCCAAACATGATTGCCTGAGTTTGAGCTCCAGGGTCCATGCCGTGGAAGGAGAGAACCAACTCCTGTAAATTGTCTTCTGACCTCCACACTCAAACCATGGCAGGTGAGCTATACATATGTACACATATACATGTGCATATACACAAAATAAATACATAAAATGTAATAAAAAGGAGAATCACATGCACAGGAAGACTTACTTCATGTAAAGGCAGTGGTGCTTAGCTTGTAGGTCTATAGAGGGCCACGCTAAAAGGAAAAACACAATGTAAGCATCGCTGAAGAGCTTTTCAAACTGGAGCAGGGAGGCTATTATGTGGCAGGACTGTGGATGTTTTAACTCCTACCTAGAAATACGAGCATTTCTCACTTCCTTGACTGCAGGCATCTGAACAATTAAAACTACTGAATCCAAAGGCCTAAGATGCATTAAGAGTTTTTTAGGCTCACTCTTACGAACGCTTTCGTTCTCCTTACGCGTTCTTTCCTCCCACCGGTCATGCTGCCCTTGTTCACCCTCTGCATTCAGTAGCTCACATACATTCCCTTCTTCCCCACATCGTATCAAACATTCGCTCCATACTTTCTGAACCCTTGCCTCTAGGGCTTCTTACAGATGCAGCTTTCAATTTTGTGTTGATTGGCCCTGAGAGATAAACAAATAAATAAATAAAATAAAAGCAATTATCCAGGCCTAGAGAAGAAAGGTGTGCAACGAAAAGGAGTAGGCTGAGGGATTGTCCACAGGCATCTTGGCTTTTTGGAGAAAGCTCAATTTAGCTTCACCTGAAGTTGTGGGAAGAACTTTGCTTCTCCCAGTTTAACGTGATTAGCACAGGGCGCCCAGAAAGAGAACTGGGGCTTTATGGGAGAATCCTGAGACAGAAAGGGTTAAGGGCAGAGGTCATGCTGAGAACTGTCATTATTTCTGTCATCAAAGCAAATGTTTACTAAAACTCTAAGCCACTTTTATCTGGACACCCCTGGACTTTGAAAATACACTGTTTACATGGAACAGATTGTTGAGAACCATGGAAGGGCTTTGTGATTAAGGTCCTGCATTAGTACCCAACAGCTCAGATTAAATCTCAAAACAGTTACACTGGCATCTCTGTTACTAAACTGAAACCAAGTTGTTGTCTGGTCTCCTTGGAAGTTAGGAGAAAGGGAACAACCACATTTCTTATACATTTTTGATGGGTGTGACAGTGAACTTCTAGTTCTGAAATAAAATTGAAAGATGTGTGTTAAGGCCACAGCTGGTGGCACATACCTGCAATCCCAGTACTGAGGCAGGAGGATCATAAATTTGAGACCAGACTGGGCTGCATATCAAGATCCTGTCTCTGCCATCCATCTATCCATCCATCCATCCAACCAACAAACAAACCAGCCATAAATTACCTACAAAAGTCTCTCAAACTAAACCCAAAACACATTGTGTTAGTGTGTTTATATACGTATCTTTAGAAAGAGAAAATTATCTTCATTTTCTTTGGAAAGGGTGTTCTTTTGTTGTTGTCTGAAGTATGCGAATCTGTGTCATCTGTGTGGGCTTGTGCTCTAGAGTGAAATGTCAGAAGGGGCCAGAGAGGCCCTCTGATGTCCTGGATTTACAGGGGACTGTGAACTGCCCCATGTAGCTGCCAGGAAGTAAACTCTGGTCTTGCTGGCTCCTTGCTTTTGTTTGCGCTGAGGTCTTATTATTCAGCCTGAGTGGTGTCAGACTTGCAGTCCTTCTGGTGAGGCTGCAGGCATGCACAAGCCTGCCTGATTAGAAATTCATCCTTAGCAAGTGAGATTACTCTAGTGACTCCAGATTAGGAGAGCTGGCTTGTTTTTCATGAAGAGGACCTCTTCCTTGTTGTGCAGAGTTCTGGAGAAAGAGAGAACAATTGCCCAATGAAAGCTGGGGGCCTTTCTAATAAGAAAAGAAAGGGATTTCTCTATATCTGTTCCTTGGGTGGTAACTTGGGAAACCTGTTCCAGCGGTTCTCAACCTGGGGGTTGCAACCTCTTTGTGGGTTGCATATTAAATATTGTGCATGTCAGATATACATTACAATTCATAACAGTAGCAACATTACAGTTTTGAAATACCAATGAAACAATTTTATAGTTGGGGGTCACCACAGCATGAAAAACTTCATTAAAGGGTCACAGCGTTAGGAAGGTTGAGAACCATAGTCAGGCTGAAGTGAAGTCTGTTGACGGAAAAGGACAGCATGGTCTTCAAAGAGACCACACCAGGAAGACAGTGGGTCCTAGGCTCCACACAGGCAACTAAGGATTTGGGATGAGCGCAAATTTCAGGGTGGTATTTATTCAAGGCGAGACCCTCTTGAGACAGCACATGGCACATTTAGTTTGCTGGAGTTCAAATCCTTGTATGAAGCATGGCTGGGCAACAGATGCTGAGCAGTTGAAATGGAAGAACTGAAGCCTTTGAGTACAATCTAGGGTAGGGGAAGGGCTGAGAGTGTCCTCAGAGGTAGGAAGGCTTGGGTTGGCCATGGTGCTCAGTGGACCAGTGAAAATTTCTAATTCTCTACACTTGATTCTCATAAGTATCCGTGTTCTTGGATCACGAAGAGTTGCATCTTATGAGGTAGAGGAACCAGTGCCCGAGAGGAGACTCTGGACATGATGGGCATCTGACCATGAGAACAATTTAATAAAAAGGAAGATGGCACCATGCTTCTCCTAAGAATAATCGTGGTTTTGAGTGTCTTCAAGGGACGGGATCAAGTCACCACACAGTAGGGCAACATAGGCTTTGCAGCTGCAGCAGAAGAGTTAATTAAATCAGGGTCAAAAGTTTGGCTGCATTTCCAACTTGGTCTGGCTGGCCCTGTGATGGCGATGCATAATGCATTAGCTGGACAATGAGATCTATTCACTAATCCAAGCTAACCCAGAGTTCCCTACAAGCGAACTGGGACTCTTCTCACAGCAGTGCTGACCCCGAGGAGAAAGACAACTCTTTTAAATCAGTGTTTGCAAAGCCTGAGGGCAGAGAGGTTTTTTTTTTAAATTTTTTAAAAAAGAAAACAAGCTATCTTTTTTTTTTCCATTTTACACACCAATCCCAGTTCCCATTCCCTCCCCTCCTCCAATTTTCTCTACCTTCACTCCCACTTCACCCCCATCCACTCCTCAGAGAGGGTAAAGCACATTGCTTTGGGGAAGGTCCAAGACCCTCCCTACTATATCTAGGCTGAGTAAGGTATCCATCCAAAGAGAATGGGTTCCCAAAAAACCAATACAAGCAGTTGGGATAAATCCTGGTGCCATTGCCAGTGGCCCCCCAGTCTGCCCCAGCCATACAACTGTCAGCCACATTCAGAGGGACTAGTTTGGTCCTATGCAGCATCCTTCCCTGTCCAGCTGGAGTTGGTGAGCTCCCATTAGCATAGGTAGACTGTTTCAGTGGATGAACCCTTCATGGTCTTGACCTCTTTGCTCATATTCTCACTCCTCCCACTCTTTGACTGGACTTTGGGAGCTCAGCCCAGTGCTGCCTGTTTTAAGGAGAAATTCTTCACAGATTTCTACTACTGACTTCAATTACTTTTATATAGTCTTTCTATATAAATGATAGTTTTCTGCCCCCATATGTTTATTGAAATTACTGTATTTTATGTGTACAGTTTCACAAATGTAGAAAATCTTAGCCACCATTTCCTCAGCTAGTTTTCTGATCCTCTCTCAGCTAATTCCATAATTCATGTTATTAGACTGACTGGACTTCTTGGAAACTTATTGACTCTGATTTCCCTTCACTCCTCCACCCTGCCCCCATTCAGGGCTCACAACTCTACACATCCTCATACCTGGCATTTCCGCTGCTTTCTGTGCTTTTTTTTTGTATTTTAATTTTTTTTCTCCAACAGAGAGTAGAACTCTTCCCTGATAGTCTATGTTAGGTAGAAACAGCCATGAGGAGCTAGTTACAAAACCTCTCAAAAGTTGACAAGAGACTCTCCCAGAATCCTCAGTTCATCTCTTGTTCGGCTTCATGGATCCTAGTGGTCACATGTTCACCATTAATCTGTTACTTTTTGCAAGGAGTTCGCTTTGTGAGTTTTCAGGGGAGCTTAAGCTAGATAGAGGTGGAATTAGCTTCTCTCCAAGTCAGCTTCTCAACCTCTGCAGTAGTAACGTTGAGGGTTAGATATGTTTTTTTGATGTATTGGGTTTTCTGATCATTGTATAGTATTTAGCATCATCCTTGTTCCCTACTCAGAGGTTGCTAGAACCACCTCTATCCCAATTAAGATAGTTGATATGTCAGGATGCCCCTGGCATGGGGACAAAATAGCTCTTGGGTAAAGAGCAGCTATCCTTAGTTGGCTCCATGAGGAGGTGGGAATACCTAATAAAATAGAGAAATACAAGAAAAAGAGAGACAATAATTTTAACTGTCCACTGTAATCTTCATTTATAGTATTTTGTAGTGAGGGGATGCACAAACAAATAATTTAGAAATGTAGTTTGGATATGATATGATCCTTAGGCACTAGGATAAATAGACTATAGACAGCTAGCAGAATTCAGTTAGGTACATACATGTGCAATAACCCAATGCAAACTTCAAACCCAGCAACGTGTGACACAGAACACACTATTGTGCATATTATTATTACAATCATTGATTCCTATTTCATTTATCCTGCTTCCATTCACTCACTTATTTGCTTATACGAGGTCTTACTATGTGGCCAAGGCTGGCCTTGAACCCTACCACCCTCTTTTCTCTGCTTCCCAAGTGGTTGTGTTGCAAACATGTATCACCATGCCGCAGGATTTTGAAGAGCAGCGGAGAGTGGTGGTGCATAACTTTTGCCCTTGCACCTGATCCTCAGAGACAGGTGCTCCCTATGAATTCAAGGCCAGCCTGGGCTTCATAGTGAGTTCTACATCAGGGGTACACAGTACGGCCCTGTCTCAAAAAGAATTCGAAGAAACGATTTGTTTGTTTCTTATGTATCTGATGTATGTGGGTGTTTTTGTCTGCTCGTCTTCACACGAGGAAAGAGCATCAGGTCCCGTGGGACTGCAGGTATAGACAGCTGTGAGCTTCCACAGGGTTGCTGGGAGTTGAACTTAGAATTTTTGGAACAGCAGCTAGTGCTCTTAACTGCTCAGCCTTCTCCAGAAAAAAAAAAAAAGATTTTTAAGTTGAGTATTACATAAGATCTGCAACTGAGCCCTGTTTGTTTTTATGGTATGATGAGATTAAATGAGAGCCGAGAGACCACAGGATAAATGTGAGGGAAAATAAAAGACTATTTTGGGGACCTCTGTTATTTCGTGGTGTGTCACACTGCGCTGAACAGAATTAGGGCTGTTCTTCCAAGTACCGTACAGGGACTGACAAGGACACTGTTAGAAGATTGGCTGTGGTCCACTTCAGATGAGCTCCCGAGAAGCAAGCTGGCCTCCTTCTAACATCAGGCTCACTGGGGATAAATAGTTCAAGCATAGTCGTTGGAGCTCTCTCAACTCAATGAAGATATCATTACTGTCCATCTGTTGCTGCCCTTATAAGCATGTATCTTCTAAACAAAAGGGCTAGAGGCAGAATCCTGAGTTTACAAAAGTACTTTTCAAGCAATTACCTTCTTGAGTGCAAAAAATCCTTTGTGACTAAGTTGTGATTGTCACTTTCCCACCACTGTGACTGAACACCTGACTTGAACTACTTAAAGGAGAAAGGACTTATTTGGGCTCGTGGTTTCGGAAGTTTCTGTCTGCAGCTAGCTGGCTCCTTTGCTCTTGGGTCTGTAACAAGGTGGAAGATAGAAGTGGAGGAGGAATGCTCCTCACCCCATTTGATGAGAAGAGGGTGGGGGCAGG